CATAATGTAGGTCTCGAAATAAGTTTTGAAAAGATATCAGCATTTTCTAGATTCGATTAGCATACGATTGTCGGAGAACTTTTAAAATTAGTATGTTATCGAAATTCAAATTTATTGTGATTTTGCCCATATTTGGTAGAGTTTAAGGGTGTGTTTGATCCACATTATTTTGTAAGAATGTATTTTGGAATAGTAGATTGATTGAGAATTTGTGGTTGAAAAAGAAGGAAAAGTTATTGATGTGATGGAAAATATTATTTTATTAAAGAATCTGTGGTTGAAAATGAGTAGAAAAATGAAAATAAAAATTTTAATGTGTACCAAACATGGGCTAAAATCAATTTTTTTAGTAAATTTAGATAAAAGTTAAATAGTTATGATGTTGAAAAATTCTAACATATACGAGGTCATACGTAATATATTAAAATGTGTGGTGCTATTATTTAAAGAATATTAGTGAATTAAAGTGGTCCGTTAAATATGTATTTTGACTAATGTGTATTAGGTTTCATGAAAATATAGTGTAGAGACTTGAAGTTTGTTTTAGATTGATGATGTGTCAATTTGAGACAACTAAAAGATAATGACTCTTCAGTTATTATTATTATATTAGGTTATGGTCCTCATTTTGTTATGGAGTTCTTCAGATTCCCTGCATTTCCATCAACAGAGAGTGAAAATCAAGAGATGACCACAATCACTTGGAAGATCGTAACTCATTCAGGCAAACAGTCAAACAACATGGATCAAGGTATATTTGTGTGTGTGTGTGTGTGTGTTTTTTTTTATCTAGTTTCAACATGTAGTATTATTTAAGGTTTATATGAGAAAAAGATTTGATTAAAACATTTAATCTATAATCCCTTTTATGTTTTCTATCATATGGATTCCATAAAATATGTTATTAAAATTAATTGTAAATTTTGATTTAGATTTATATTTAGATTTCAATCGATACCAAACATAACTTTATATCTTCTATATATCAAAAGTGGCTATGTAACGGAATTCTTGTTTTTAACGGAAAAACTAACGGAATTTGTTGTTTTAACGGATTATGTAACGGAATTTCTTATTTTAAACAGGCAGCTGCACTTTTTTTCAGTGTTTTTATCATAACTTCATATTCGAATGCCCGATTGAAGCGATTCAAAATGCGTTGGAAAGCTAACTCATCTGGCTACAACTTTGATTCAGACATCATTCTCCAATTCAATCACTCTCTATACCAAAAATAGATCTCAATATGAGACTAAAATATCGGAGCATAACTTTTCGGTTGGAAATTGATTTGTGATCATCTTTTGCCTAAATTTGATTCCATTGACGTCTTCCTTTATCCAATTGACTCCAAACACTCTCAAAT